TATCATTACTAAACAATTGAACTTTATGGAACAGAAACTAACTTGGAGTCGTAAGAAATATTAATATGGTTTTGTATTCTGTGTGGTAGCTGTGGTTGATGACTTGTATCTACCCACTACTTTTGAAAATATGTTTATTGATTGATTTCTTTCTAGATCACAAATACATATTTTACTCATAGATATGTAATAATTTATATATTTAAATTTTAAACAATGGAAACGCTATTCGAAAAAGCACCTTTTAATTGCTTAAAAATAATTATTAATTATTATCGATTAAAATATTGGTATGGCTTAAATATTAAAAATTATAAATTATAAATAATTACTCCCTACTATTAAAGATAATAATAAAAAAAAATAAAAAAAAATCTTGGTGACCGGGAGTGTGCAATTAGCCTGAAAAACCACAATATTTCTTCTATAAATATGTGGTTTGTTTCACTGATGCATGGGTAATTGGACGATAAATCATTATTTTGCAAAGGATTGATGATATTACTGATTTTATCTCTAAAACTGGCTTTTACAGGATTCCTAAGAGACAGATGCGTTTTAGTCTACTACTCTTCCAACGAAATGATAAATACAAATATTCATTACTAAATTAAAAAAAAAAAATCACAGTAAAAAAAAATTGTAAGTTAAATTGTGTGTTTGTTTATTTGCTTAAAATGTTACCAAATTCACACTAGTATTAATTTTATTTCCCATACTCATTTATAGTGAGTTCCATAAATTGTAATATGTATTATATTTCAAATTTAGGTTTGTTAATAATGGTTTCTTTTCTTTTACCTTCGTGAATTGATCGACCATTTTTTATAAAAATTCCAAAATTTCATCATTAATTAGATCAGATAGCATAAATGCAGAATACATAAAATGAACTCTTTTTTTCCCCCCGACCTTTACATATAACGGTAAACTGATCATGCGCATTGCATTAGTATGCAAATGAGATGTTGTTGACGCCATCTTGAGAACGGATTCCTGACAGGTTATGCAGCCTATAGAATTTTAGTATTTAGAAGAAAGAATCTGACTAGATCACAACAACTACATTACCATCGGACTATTAGTGCTCTGTATTTTTATTCTTCAAGCCATCAGCCATGGCGCAGACCGATGGCAAAATGTCCACTCTGGACCGGGTAGTGAAAAGTGAGTATCCGAATAAGCTATCCTTTCTCATTACCGATTCAAACAGTCCGCCATCTTGAATGGATACAACCCTAGTAATTCTTATCAATAATTGCACTGTTAATACGTTGTCATTGTAATTTCTATCAAATTGTTGAGCAGCAGTATGATTTTTAACAATTTTCTGTCATGTCACTGAGCTGCCTTTCACTAGAATGTGATAAAAACGGGTGAATCCTTCGTTTCTGTCGCGGTGTCATCCTTGAGATGACAGCTGACAACTCTTGTATTTTACCACTATCTGACAGACACTTATCTGACAGTGACAATGGCTTGAGTTGTTTAGATTATAGAGCGGTCATTAACATTTCTACCACTAAAATTTTGAATCATAATTTATATTCTTATTATTTTTAGCGTCATCTGTTGGTGTTTCTATATAAAAATAGATACTAAAATATAATTGAAGTCTTTCAATTCGAATCACACTGACTCTGACTTTCCTTTTATATATATATAATCAAAACCACTGTGTAGTGCTCACAAAATTGAGTGGAGTTCGTGAAACGTTCTGCAGTGTCGAGTTTATTCTCCCATTTCAAGCCGAAGGCGATCTCCTGGACGATGTGTTGCTAATGTACTGATGTATGATTGTGTTAGGGGCATCCACCTGCCAGAAAACAGCTGATCAATTAATGAATGTGCAACCGTGGTCACAGATTTAAAGACCCCACAATTGCCACTAACAGCCCTTTTTAAGTGATTTTGTCTCTTTAGTTATCAAACAGTTACAATGTGATTTCAGATTGATTTATAGCAATAACATTCACCCAACAAAATAAAGAGACTGAATAGAGGTGGTACCATTCCTTTTGTCTGGTTTCATTTATTGCATTATTTAGAATCAAAATACCCAGCAGAATTCAATATTTGTCAGCACTTTCATTTCCCCCCAAATAATCAATGGATGCTACTATAGTACAGCTTTAGTTCCTTATTTTCATATGGTTTGTGAAATTGTTGGACTTTGACCACGTATGCACGTCTTGACACTGTTTATCTCAACACAACTGTTACTACAGTCATTACAGGGTCAACAAGTCATGTTGTAATTTCATCTGGCTATAAAATATTTTTTTTTTATAAAATTGTATCGCATTCAGAGTTTGAAAACGTGTAAATTTTTCATGACTAGTTATTAATTTTATTGCTTTTATGCAGGAGATAGTTTGATAATTTACAATTATCAGTGGTTACAGGTGAAAAGAGGCAGAATTCTCTTTCATGGCATTCAATATATCATTATGTTTAGTATCAGTCTTGTGCCACCTTTTACCTGCCCGTGATTGGTGTCTCCCGAGAATAGAGATGTAAAACTGCAATTAGAATGCCCTATTTGCTAATTGGTAATGTAGATGGATTTGAGCAAAGCAAATTGTGTACATTTTAAATGAATAGACTAACCAAATTGTGTAGACCTGCATTTTTTCTGATGAATGCTCTAATTTGAAATTATCACGGACAGTGTAGCTGCAATCAGTGAGCTATGTTAATTTCATTTCATAGAACAATTGTGAAACATTCAATTTTTGCGCTGTCATGAATCAATGGGGCTCCAACAGGTTTTTCTATATTCTGATTAGAACGCTGCATAGTTGCTATGCGTCTTCAACAATTGTCGTATAGCAAATGACAACACCATAGCATCACTTAAATTTATGAATTACAAAAGGTATTCAGTAGTGAACGTTTGGGATTATCTCCCTTTGCACGGCCTCGACAAATGGTTATCCTTGCATAGACTCGGTTATCTCCCACATTATTAGAATAGGATTTTGGAAATTAAAGGAACACTAATTCTTTTAATTTGTAATTATATTTATATTTCTAACAGAAATTTGAATTTTTTCCAAATCCTTGATATTAGCAATTCTCTTAGCGTTAATTGTTTTGACAGTTCAAAATGATTAATTCTTGTCTATTAAAAAATTTTATATTATGTCACACAATTTGCAATTACCACCTTATAAACTAAAACAGTGCAGGTTTACTTTCTTTCTTGTCTACTGAGAATAAAATATTTCTGAAAGGTTACAGGCAAGGCCATACCATAGAGTTCTTGTTTGATGTCTTGAACTATGGTATATTTGGCATTTTCTTGGTACAGCATAATAATTTGTGAAATAGATGTTAAGTGTTTCAGATTAATTTTCATGACTTTATTTAGATGGAAATGGGTTTTTTTTGACTGAGCTATGTGAACGAGCTACCAAATAGCATATATATGTAAAATGAATTACTTTGATTCACTCACTTGAAAAGTCAATTGGAAATGAAGTTTTGTACACTTCAAACATACCTATATTCAGGGTCATTGAAACCCAAGGCTGTAGTGAGCTCTTGTATTATTTCTGCTGTAGTCTATTAACATATTTTTTTTGCTATAATGTGGACTTCATGTCTTGCTGCACTTGAGGTAGCCACTTTCAAGGTTTCTTTCTACTTGTACAGGAAGCCTTATGACAATTCCCTTTCAGTTGATAATTTTGTTTTGCATATTACCAATAAGAAGTGTGATTAAAAATAGTATAATACACTAAATCTCAAAAGAGAACTGACTGGAGAACTGTTTAAACTCTAAAAATGTTTACAGAGCAGTGCTACTTATGCTTCCCATAAATCAAATTGATATTGATTTATTTGCCATTAAAAAAAAAAAAAAAATGATGTAATAACGCTCGGTGTCACTTCTATAAAAAGTAGCTTACAAATTCACGTTATTAGTTTGACACTTCTCAAGCATTAATTTTATGTATACACATCTGTACTATGCGTTTTTTATACAATAATTATTTTATTATAAATATTTAGTGGATTGTTGGGAATCTTAGCAAAACAATGTAAAGTATTAAAAACTGATGCCTTTGTAGTAGTTGTTGGATGAAACCAACCTTGAGTTGAATATCAAATAGGGTCAACCCCTATCGTGGGTCAGTGTGCCACACAGACACTGGGAGACCATAGCCACTGATCAAGATTTACTATAAAGTATTAAGAACGTATAGCATATCTAGAAGCCTTCAAGAACTGATAATACAATTTCTAGTGCTAATACTTTCATCTAATATAATCTGAGCTTGTCAACTGACACACTTAAGTTCTTTTTGATCAAGTAGAAGTTTAGAAATTTACATATACTGACATTTCAAGAGTGAATGTCACTCAAATTTCCAATTCATTTTTGTAAAGTCTATTTTAATCAAGTTGATTTTATACTGACTGATTGTGTTTTTTGTTCTTAATGTTTGTAGAAAATGTTATTTTTGATACAGTTGAATTGTTTTTAATATTCATGTACTAGGAATGTGCTGTTGACACTTGTAATGTCTTTATAAAAGGATTTTCTGATGTCTTTGACATGGGGCAAAGATTTCAAATTTTGTCATTCACAAAATGTCTTCTTTTTTTTTTCTTTTTCAAAATTTTGAGCAAGACCTTTAGCCGAAATTATTTAACTTTGGAGCAGCTGGTAGTATTTTTGGAATGATTTTTTCTGGTACTGAACAGTTGTAGATAAATTTGAGCCCTCAATTTCATACAACTTGAAATTAATGCAGGAAGTGCATCATGTCTTCAACGTCTTTTTGGTTGCAGTCAGTGCACTTCCTGTCACTTCAGGGTATTTTATCGTATCACCCTTTTTCTGTTTTTAAAATGTATGCGCTAATTCTTAATTTGTTACTGTTAAATAGTCCTTCATACTGGCAGTTCTTCTTTAGCAGTCTCTCTGCACGTAGCTTAGCAGTCTATCTGTGCTTAGAATTACAGGAGGTTAGTTCAAAGAATACAATTCACTGCTACCGACTTTTGTGTCAAAACAGTGTTATGACAACTGACACCATAAACACAAAACCAACATCAGGTTTTTCTCATCTCCCCCCCCCCCCCCCCAAAAAAAGTCAATTACTTCCAAATACTGAATTATAGGTTATTTTCAGTTCTTGATGCAAAGCTTCAGGTTACTGACTATCATATTGTTGTTGGTTTATATTGTAATAATACACTTCATGTATTAAATTGGTTTTGAGACGATAGATTCAGATTATGTTTTTCCTTCTTCAGTAGCTTGAATTTTGATTATGCCAACGTATCATCAAACTTGTGTGTAGGTATAATGTTGACCCAATTTCACAGATTATAAACCATACTAGGAACACAAAATTGTTTTCCTCTGCTTTTCAACCTGAATTATTGCTTGAGTGTTTATATTTGGTAATTTTACCAGAAAAAAGTGAATCCATCGTGAGTGCACTGTTTAGCTAGCTGATGGTTCAAAGTGCTGTTTTGTATAGTAACTAATCCCGGAAATGTTAATGTTGTCATGTATCAGTACACTTGTGAGTGGCAACGGTATATCAGTAGATAATGTTTTAAACTGATGTTATTACAATAATAACTTTATAATGTGGCCAGCACTTAATCGCTTTGACGTATTGAAGTGACTACGCAAGTATGACAACCCGAGTATTACGCAGTTTCATTGGTACACACGTTTTATCATTAAAAGGATTCTTACTTGACCCTCCATTGCCATCCGGTTATCTCAACTGATAAGTACATGGTCCTCATTTTATTGTTAATCAAAAATAGACAGGTTGTTGGTCAAAATTATGGTTAAAATGAACTTTGTTTACCCAAAATAGCACTTGATGTTTATAGATTAAACAGTAGACATGTACTGCATTCTGACTGGAAAAAATTGCTGGCGTAAGTTGTGCTCTGTAATTAAAAAAATAACAATATCATAATCTAGAATTTTACCAGCGCTTTTCTAAGTGTATGGTTGTACTGGATAATGTGTACAAATGGCACTGACCTGCTGATGAGCACTTTCAGTTCAGTTAACTGTATTTTCTGTACATAATTTTATGCATGCATGTTTAACAACTAAGTGTATGGACAGGCCTGTATGTTACATTTTAAACTGACTGAAAATTCTACGCATATTGTGAGAATCTGCT